GGGGGGGGGGGGGGTGCCCGGTACGCTTGTACTTGACGGAATGTAGTGCCACGTTGAACTCTACCCAGAACGACCTGCGTCCTCTGCATGGGACAATCGTCGTCGAACAAGAACCCCGTTTATCCTAGGTGGATGTCTGCTCAAAATAAGAACGTGGACCATAGGAATATGTGCCAACAAGCGTCGAGCCTCACCCAAAATAAGGGGTGCCTACGTGGTGGCGCGTTCTGCAATCAAACACTAATAATAATTCAGAATTGATTGTGCGAGAAGTCGGAACAACAGATCCAACACGCCACACATGCTTGAAGACTGTGCGCTCCAACAAAGAATCCCCAAGACACACAGTGTATGGCCCGCAAAATGGGACAACACTGGAAGGGGCGCTGCAGCTCCGACGCTGACATCAAAGCACCCCAAAGGATCGGCCAGAGGTCGAAATTATGACCAGAAGACCAAACACATGCTTAAGGAAGCTACAGAGCAGGGTGCCCCAAGCAGAAGAACAAGGCGGCTACAGACTCGGGAGAGAAGGAGCCCACGTACACTATCTCAACTGTGCAAACAGAAAGGCTGAGGAAACGAAAGAAAATCGGGGATCTATCAAGCATGCTGTGGGAAGAGGCGGGTATCCGTCCTCACAACAGATATCCAATGTGGCGGGCGAGTGCCACGGGACGCGTTGGTATTCCCTAAACACAACAAAACACGTTTTACAACCGCTCGAGCCCTGCCTTTAGCACCCGGTTCGCAAATACTCCAAAATAAAATAACCCACATATAAATAATAATCACAATGAGAAAAGCGTCAAAATGACAGGATTCAATTGATCTCCAACACTTCGCAAATACCACCGCAAAGCGCAATACCCAACAAACAAAAAAATCGCTACTACTGTAGAGGGGTGATGCCACTCTACCTTGCATACATATGTTATCGTAGGTGTGGCATGTGCTGTGCATCTCTTGACACACAACAGCGTGAAGTGTGTGCATGAAACAAATCCCGAATGCATGCATGCGGGCTAAGGACGTTCGCAAGCAAGACAAGACATTCAAAACAAGACAACTTTTGCGGCTACTAAAATATGGATGGAGTCATGCACCGCCCCTCCCTGTACAGGTCTAAGCCCTTCCAGGTACAGCACTAAAAATCTGAATGCGGCCGGTAGCGTAGGTGCTCCAACGTTGGTATCGAACCTACGGCCTACAGTAGCCAGTCATTCTTACTCAATTCCAAATTGGGCAACTTGATCCTTGAACACGTGCATGGCATGCTCGTAGAGAGACATATCCAACCGTAGGGCAGAAACAATTCTAGGATTCTCCAGAGCCTGGCGAAATGGTTCGGATTCAGCGATGTCGTACTCTGAATCTTGTTTGACTTCCTCATTGATGCCGAGTGTCGCCCACGAGGACGACCAGTCCAGACCTTCCATAGATAGCGCCTTGCTAAACAGAACCATCGTCGTTTCCAGCTCCTGGGCTATGCCGACAGCAGCGTACTGCGTGCTAAGCAGCCCCTTCACAGGCTCCAGCATGCTCTCGAGCACCTCGTCTTCAGCTATCCCTCCCCGAGCCAGGTACTCCTTGACGAGGTACCACATGGACGTACCCGTTCGTGCTTGCCTTTGCGCTGCCCATTCCTTCACTGCGGACGGTGATACGGACTCCAGCGCGAATTGCCTCATGGCAAAGTTACCCCAGAGTTCCGCAAATACTACCAACCCCGTCGATTCGGTGGGTGGGCAAACGGGGTCCTTGGGGGCCTCCAGGCAATGGTGATACGCGGATAAAAGACGCGCGATCGGGTGCCTGAAGATGGTGAGCCACTTACACGACCGTTCCTTGTGGTTCCGAAGGCTCTCCACGCAGCCTCCGTGCAGAAGTTTCCAGTGAGAAGCCATGACGTCCGCCGCAAAGCCGTCACCCCGGCGCCACTGGACAGTGTCGAACACGAGCTCATCCTTCCGCCAACGCTCCGTGGCGACACGCCGAGCCCCTGAAGCGCCGCTCTTGTCCATATGCATGAATATCCAACACGAATCTTCGTCGTCTGCAGCTGCTGCTGTTGCTGCCGCCGCCGCCGCCGCTGCTGCTGCTGCTGCTGCTTCCTCTGCTTCTCCCGGCTTGTCCTTATGGGGGACGGGGTCATGGGTGGCCTTCGGCACGTGTACTGACGTTGTCTTCCAAATCGGCGGTTTGCCCTTGGGCAACGCCGGTGCAGATTCTCCCTGCCCTTCGTCTTCGTCTCCTAGGCCGGTCTGTACACCCGCAATGGACGAAGGGGCTTCTAGGTGTTTTGGATCTGGTTCAGAAGACGCGATGTCGACCGCCCTCGTTCCGCCAACACAGGTCGGTCGCACGACATCATCAACCTGTTCTGGTATGCCGCCGCTCTTGAAATGTATGACCAACTGGGTTACGAGAACGATGCCTACCAAGGCCAAGACTGATAACCTGGAATCAAGCGTGCCGAAATCACGCAAAAAGGGGAAAATACACGGGATGGCGGCGAGGTAAGCGCAAAAACGGAGAATATTCCCAAGGAAGCTATGAGCCATGGAGCGCAGACAGCACAGCGGACTAAATGAGCACGAGTCGGGTTTTAAGCCCCCTAAAAGGAAAATAACCGGTTCGGTATTGTTGTGGAGGTCGTGTCTTGTTCGCAGGGCCCAGGAATCTGCAAGTCTCTTTCGGGTGTAGGCAAGGCAAAGGTGCGCTGTGTGTCCGCGATGCTCACAAAGGGTTATGCCGAAGTGGAGGTTGGGTGGCCATATCCAGAACAATAGCGAGAATCGACGGGACTCTCGAAATATCCCGGCAGGATCTGAAGAAAGGTCAACGAGGGCTAGCAGAAGAGAGCACCAGGGCTTGGAAAGGCGCAAGGAAAGGGGTCACACGGTCAAGGCTACCGTAAATGTCATCAAACTGTTCTTGCCTACGACGTGAAGTTCTGAACCAATGTCGACAACGTTTTGACGGGTTGAAAACCCTGTTCCAGAGGGAAAGTCGATAGGGAAAATCAGGTGATGCAGGGGGAGCTAAGAACTCATGAGGGCGTGACATCGAGGACGTGGGTGGCATCACCGTCATACCCCGAGCACGTGACAGCAACGCAGCTGGAACCAAATGAGAACGGATGCCGGTACACCGAACTACTCGTGAATGGAATGGGATAGCTCCACTGCGGTATCTCGGCGGCATTCCTAATCGTCGTATGAAAGTACACGCGTAGCCGAAACCAATAGCTCTTTCAGTCCTGAGCGCCTCACAATCTTACCCTCTGATGGTTCGGCTGGGGACACCCTCGCCAAGGCTGACAGAGAATAGCGGCAGCAAAACAAACACATGTCATGTTTACACTGCGCCCTTTCACGCTTTCCTTTGGATGCTTCAATCAATGTCATCGGTATCATGGAAGAACGCTTCAGTCGATTCTTTTGCTCGTCCGCGGTTTGAAAGGGACGAAGCGCCAGCCTCTGGGGAAACCTGCGAACAATGTGTATTGAACCTCACATCAAGGCGCTGGTTGTGGAGATGGCCAGGCGAATGTCTGTTTCTGACATGCACTTCGACTCATCACGCGGAGAGAAACCACCATACCGGCCTCCTCCTGAAGAGCAAAACAACAAAAACAACATGAAAAAAGAATAGACGCGCCCGCTGTTTTCGGGACGCCACGAAAGGCCGCTACTGCTGTAACACCATCAGCAGCTTTGAAGTCATGGCCGGAAAGTTGCTTCTCTCCCACGTATGTGTTCGACCACACACAGGAATATTGATACACATGGAGCAACCAACCAAACGCACACACAGACGAGTTTGACGAAAACGCAACCCCAATTGGCCCTGAGTAAGTTGGCGCTTGTGGCCCGTGCTCGCTCAACAGAAAATAGTGTGTTCGCTTCGCAAAGCCTGCCGAAGGCAATCTTGAGCCTCGCGGCAGTGGCCTCTGTAGTTGGCGAAATGTGGGTTAGGCATGTGTTGCCTCTCTCAGACCTGATTGCCTGGAGCATCGTATGATGTGTTCGCTCCCCACTCACTTCAAACTTCAAAAATTCAAACTTCAAACCAGGAATGCAGAACATCTCCGGGTTGACCAAACCTTTTATCTATTATGGAGTTACTTGCTGTGAGCAAGTGCATTCCTACATTCCATGTCTACACAAAAGTACATTCTGAAACACGTGCATGTTTGTACGGTAACTCGTGAGAAACCAATGTACAGTACTATTCCAAGAAGGAGCGTACTGTTGCTTCTTGCTTGCTAAGGAACGACACCAACAATTCCGTCTCACCTATGCGCAGCAGTAGAGAGAAGCTCACAGCACTTTACCAAGCACTTTCTGAAGGAGGGGCTTACAGACAAGAGAACCAGCTTTTACAGATACAAGCGGAACCGTTTCGGAAAGAAATGTACGGTATGTTCCGTTCGCGCCGCTCACCCGGTGCAGAGTCGACACAAGCACGTCCGAGCCGGTCTGCTTCTGCGATTTTCACGGTGGTCGTTGTCGTACTCGTCGTGCTTTGGTGCTCGCCGTGGAAGTCGTTGTGACGCTGCCGCCATTGCTGCCGCCGTGAGGCGTCGCCTGAGCTCGCGGTTGTTCTCGGGATTGTTCTGCCAAAAGGGCAAGGCACGTGGCACGCGGAGAGATTTGACAACCAATTTCATTCCAGGTACCTGTACCGGGAGGCAGTTGACGACGACACAACAAAGTGGTTCACCGAGCACCGCCCCGGTTCACACAGCAGAGCAACAAGGGCGCCGTACCTCTTTCACTGGACTCGGAATAGAGTCGAACGACGACGTGGAGACAGGAGCAAGTTCAGGGTGTAACTGAGACAGATGCGATGACGATGCTGGCGATTCTGACGAACCGGTAGGGTCACCGCTGTCGCCTAGGTTCGTGTTGATTCTCTCCCATGGTCGACGTGCGGTGTTCGTGTCCGTCGGGAGCGTTAGAAGCGGGGAGAAAAACCCTTCGAAGCCCTTCATTTGGAACGAAGGTGGAGGTGCTGCACGAGCGATAGACAAATAGACGGCTGCACCGCACGCACGCGAGAGGGGGAGAGAGCCAGCGAAGAACCAAAACGTGCGGCGCAATCGCGAGCGCACCCCCAGAACATACGCGAAAGCGGTGCCCCCGCCCCCCGCCCTCTGTGCCTTTCCCTCCTGCACTCACCCCACTCATCAACTCTCTAGCTACGTTGCTCTCCGCCTCTCTCTGGTCACGTGCTACTGCTGTGCTGTCTCGGCTAAAGAGCTACTTTCTAGTCGGTTCCAGGAGCTGGATGGTGAATGGTACCATGATCTCTTCAGCAAGGTCATCGGCTTTGCTTATTGGGCGACGGGTACGTGTAGTGGCGAAAAGGTTGCGAACATCAACCACAGCAGCAGCACGACCTTCTCCTTCGTTCGAGTACAAGGTGCAGTCGACCGACGATCCCAAGCCCAGAAAGACGTGCACCACTTGCGGGTTTGTCAATTGTGAGTTAAGCGTGCGCCAACTACTGCTGTACCTGATAGATTTTTTTTTTTTTAAATACAGTACATATATTACGACTTAGCAGACCACGCGCTGGCTCGAGG